GGCTATTAATGTTGGTTGCTTTGTGTCCAGGTGGTGGCTGGGAAGGTATGTTCAAGAACAGCAGAAAAGAGAAAGGAGGGGTAGCCAAGATCCCCTCCAAAGAAGAAACTATAAATTTCACACAGAAATCTACGTGTGTGTTTCATTATGACTATATGCGTGTGCTCAGAATGTTACATCAGTGGGTAAAACAGATAAAAAATTAAAGACAATTTTTGAAAAGATTTACTGTCCAGGAGAATAATCAGTTATTTTCTTTTAGAAAATTAATATTTGTACTTGATTCTATGAAAAATTATGTGGTTTTTTTTTTCAGTCTTATGGAGATAGAATCGAGATCCAGAACTGTGTAAGTTTAAGGTATACAGCATAATGGCATGACTTACTTATACTGCAAAATGATTACCATAATGTTCCGTTAACATTCATCATCTCACACAGATTCAAAAAGAAGAAAGAGGAGAAGAGAAAGGGGAGAAGGAGAAGAAAATCTTTTTTCCTTGTGCTGAGAACTTTTGGGAAACATTGTGTTTTAATAAAATAAATGCTGGTATTCATTTTCCCTCTGAGCCCATGCTTTCTACCCTACCCATCCTTTTCAGGTTATGCTGTAATTCCAGGCTAGAGAAAATAAAAAATACTTCTAGAAATATTTTAGAGGTATGCAGTGGTTGCTGATACAATTGTCTTCCCAGTAGACACTTTTATCTTTTCTTTGGTAACTCCATTCTCCAACTGACACCCCGCTCCACCACCATCACATGTTCACCGTGGAAGAATCAACATTCTTACACGACCCTAAGAGTCTGAGCCAGTTGATTGGTTCAGGGATGAGTGCATGACTCAGACTGGACCAAAGACTGGTTGTATTTTAGGAGGAAATAGCCTTATATTATGAGATTTTAAATGAAGTTAATATTTAAACCTCAAAATCTAAAACTTACCCTTGGAATTGTACTATATGGGAGGACAGGCAGTGAGTTTATATCCCCAACACCTTGCAGAATGTAAAAAGTGGGTGCTAAGTAAATATTATCAAAATAACTTAAAAATAATTTTTATGAATTTTAGAAGATCTAAGCTTGCCTAAGCCAATGTAAGGTTTTTATTAATAACATTAAAAACGAGACAATTCTCTAACGTTATAAGATGAATTTATTATAATGATACAGGGATATCCCAGAAACCAAAGCAGAGATGCCGCTTATGAAGTGTATCCAGCATCTGTAGTGCACTGTAGAGGAAACTGTAAGAGTTTTCTATATTTCTCCTCCATTTTCAGTCGAAAAGACAAAAAACAAAACAAAAAACTTAGATATTTACATTGCTTCTGTTTAAGAGAACAGCTACAAATTGAAATCTCTTAACCCTGATTTTAAACTCCCAAGGAAAAGATTCTGATTGGTTCAGTATGAGGCAGGTCCTAAACCACGGACCAATCACAATGGCTGTGGGTTAAGGTCACGTTTGGCAAAGCCTCATTGTTAACGGTGGATTGTGTAGTTGAAAAAAAAAAAAAGGACCGTTTTTTAGAAAAAGCAGAGAAGTTCTGAACTGAGTGGACAATCAACAGCTGTGAGTTTTACACAGGTTTAATGTGAAGATTCCAGGGGCCAGTGCAATTCATAAAAGCACATGTATTAAATGTAGACCTTCCAGAGTCACACACAGACTATAATTTGATGTGTCTGAGATGATTGTGAAAAGGAACAGAAAACTTTTTGGAGTGTGTCATTTATTTCAAGTTTCGTGTGGGACGTTTCTTCTGCCTGGAATGCCCTTCTCCCCCTCTTCCTGCGGCAGGTTCCTTTTTGACCTTCATGATCCAGCACGGATGTCACCTCTCTCAGAAAAAGCCTCTCGATGCTCCCAAGGCTGGGTTAACTGGGTCTCACATGGTAGGTATACTTATGTTGGGAGAGGCAATTGGCCATCGGCTCTGAACATACCAGAACATATTTGCTGGGTATGCCAAGAATGTGAGTCCTTGACCAGTCTTTACCCATGCCATTTCTCAGGGCGTGTTTGCAGCAAGCATCCTTGAGGGAGGAGAGAACACCTCTCCGCCGAGGAAGAGCAGATGTAATTCCCCTTACTCTAAAAGTAGCAAGACCCTCAATTTAGAGACGTCTCTCTCATGATGTGACTCACTTCAGGCATCGTGAAAGGATGAAAGGCCTTTCGCTTCGTCCCCACTGGACTTCGGGGGGTGTGGAGTCGAGGGAGTGGTATGCCTCTGCTAGAACTGATGTAACAGAACACCATGAACTGGGTGGCTTAAACAACAGCATTTATTTTTCCCACATTTCTGTAGGCTAGACGTCGAAGATCAAGATGTCAGCAGGTCTGATTTCTCCTGAGCCCTCTCTCCTAGGATTGCAGGTGGCTGCATCCTCACATGGCCTTTCTTCTGTGCCCAAGCATCCCCAGTGTCCCAGTGTGTGCCCAAATGTCCTCTTCTTATGAGGATACTGGTTAGATTGGATTAGGGCCTACTTTTACCTTAATCATCTCTTTATAGGCCCTGTCCCCAAGCACAGTCACATTCTGAGGTGCTGGGGTTAGCATTTGTACATATGAATTACGGAGGAATTCAATTCAGCCCATAACAAGGGACACGGGGATCCAACACAACCAACATGAAGCTCTGGCTACCGCTTTTGCTGTGCATAAAAAACTCCTTTATCTCTGAACCAAGAATCTTGTGTCTCTTGACAACATCCATGTAACAGTAACAGACTAATTTCTTAGCCTGTAAGTAGGGTAAAATCCCAGACCCTACCGAGCTCCTGACACCCTGACACACCTTAACACTATCACACTATTTACGTTGCCTCTTTGTCTTTCTTTTCCACTAACCGCAGGGACCTGTGAAGTCAAAGTAGAATGTCTGAAACCTAATAGGCATGGAATAAACATTTGTTGAGCAAATGAAATTTGATTTATCGTAAAGAATCTAATCAAGGCATTGGCTGATGTGAAGAGAGACTTTTTTGAAGATATGGGTTAAGATGAGAAAGAAAACAGGTTGGTACAGACTCAGTATTGCTAAACAAGTGTTCAGATACAATTATATGGCTTCCTTGATACGTTCTCAAAAATACCACAAGCATTATATAATTTATTAGGTCATATTTTACTACCATCCAGTACCAGCTAAACCTCAGATTATTTCTCTGGAAAAAATTTTAATTTTGATTTTGCAAAAATGCAAACAAAACGCGTTCCAGACAATTTTTAAGTGATAGAACAAAGCAAAGCTTTCCATTTAAAGTATGTACTCACAAGAGATAAACTTCAGCCTTGAAAGTAACACAAAACAATGCTACAGTTTAGCCCTACAATTTATCAGTGATTTACCACCAGTTCCTGAAAATCTTTCCAAAGTACAAAGAACACTGTCTACAAACTCTGCTCAGCATTACTAAAATAGGTGAAAACATGGGAAAGATTTTGCCCTGGTAAAATCACAGCAGGAAAGCTGAGCAGCCCAAATTAAGCCAGGTGGCTGCTCAGGGCCTGATTCTGGCCTCTCTGGATTCAGAAGGAGGTTGCAGAAACCCTCCGTCCATCCGGGATGTGACTTTCCCCTAGCTCACCCAGCCTGTAAAGAATTTTTATTTCCTCTGAATCGATTCAAACCATAAGCAGAGAAAAGAAGGAAAAATAATTAATCAATGTAGATAAAGTGGTCAGAAAAGAGAGGCAGACAGTGGCTCCAAGCGATCAGGGCCCATGCCAATCTCTTCCCAGATCCAACTTCCAGCATCTGGAGACTAATCAAGACCAATTACTCCTCATCCATGACAAGGGACAGGAGTTTCTGACTTTGAGGTGACGCTCACCCACCCCCCAGGCTCAACCCTGACTTCTGCTACTCCCGTGCCCAGCTCCGGGCTCCTTGCCTGAGGCTTGGCCCGAGCTCTGTGGGTGCTCAGCAAACACTTGTTGAAAGAAGGGAAATGTGGGGGGTTAGGGGATTAGGGGGCACAGTCCAGCGAGGGAGGCTGCGGAGCAGAAAACAGAGAAGACACGCAATAAATTTGGTGCTGGTATGAACGCAGGGACTGGGAGAGTTGGCCTTGGAGGGGAGGAGGGGCGTGACATCTGCTCTGCGTCTTGCAAACCCAGAGCAATTCCGTGTTTGAAGGCATTTCCTTAAACCCTTCGAGGTTCTCCGCCGCTCGGCCTTTTCCCTCGTCCCACAGCAATCACCACCGTGTCTGCGGTTTCCTCTGAACAGTGGTGAGACTCCAGCAAGCGGAGGCGGGGGCCGGCCGCAGCAGCCCCGCACACCCCGATCTCCCGGATCCCGCGCGGCTGGCGGGG